GATTTTAAAAGTGTGGACGCCTTCTAGTTGTACATTTTGGCACTGCCACAGCACCTGGACACATGCTAACAATGTAGAAAATAATACTAAGCTGATTTTATACCTAAACACTCATGAACCACATAAGTGATTTTGGTAAATCAAGAGATATTTGCTTTTAATAAAAGATTTCACCGAATAGATTGGTGCCCAAGAACTTTCAGAAATAAATTCTACTTGTAAAACTTAGATTTACACCTAATTTAATAACTCATCTCATGCCAAAGTTATGGGCAAGTGAGAGAATTCAAAATCTGGGGGGAAATGTAGCTTTAGAGTAAAGCGGTATGAACGCAGGAGGTTCCTACTGTCATCACTGCCATGATATATTATTTCATTTAATTCAGACCTGTAGCATAGTAATGAAATGACAAATGACAAATGACGCTCTAGATCCACAAGGAAATAGAACTGCATTGTTTGTTATGAGAAATAAAACAAATTATAACAATTCTGAAGTGTTGAGGGTAGTGAGGGAGGTTTTAGAGCCCGTGTGTGTGTGTAATAAATCATTCCTTTGAAAAGATAATTGCAGCACCGCTAGAGAGGAGAAAAAACCAACGTTGAGGGCAATTATTTGAAAGCTCCTCAAATTAACTTGGGCACAGTTGGTTCTTTGTTCCTGAGCGCACATTAGTGCGAGTTGTATCATTGAAGAAAATAATGTAATTCTAGTTATTAATCACTTTAATTTTAAATGTGCTTGGTAAACTGAGAGGGCATGAAACCGTAAGAACAATGTGGAATGCACAAGTAATTAGATGCTGAATGGGCTCCTTTTGAAACCCGGAGGGTAACAGAATGCAAAAGTTTCAAGGCCCTAGGAAAACTCAGGGACACATGTAACGTGAGGAAGGTCTGTTTAACTCTACTGACCAACAATATCACAAAGGGAGTGAATTAAACCTTCTCCCAGAAGCAATTTTAATAGATTCCGCGGAATGAAATCATATTATTTTTTGAGTCAGCCTCCTCCGTGGTGGAATTTAGCGGTGGCTTCTGGAGGCACCGTGAGATAGTTTTCTGTGATATTTCAGTCCACAATCTATGCTGAAAAAGATAACAGTGCTTTTGCAAATATCCTCCCGAGACAAACATAAGCCGGGATTTGGTGTCACTAACCATCAGTGCAAATGACTGAGGTGGAACCATCTGATATGCGCAGTATCAACAAAACTTGCTAAGGGCCACTTCATCCCGGCCATACCCAGGAGAGGGGAAAACAAAAACAAAAACAAAAAACCCCACCCTCAAGCAAGTCTTTAGAAGATTCTTGATCCTGCTAAATGAGATTCATTAAATGAGAGAGCAAGTGGCTACCTGCAAATTTTCACTTCCGTTTCTACAGTATTTTTATAAATACGAACACTTAGAACCTGGAACCAGCCAGTAGAAGGAATGTATTAGATAATCGCCCTTTCTTGTTAAACAAAACCAAACAAAGGTTAATTGCTTTGACTCCTACTAAGTCCAGCACACAGGGGTGTCTTCTGTTCCAATTAGCTAGCATCCAGATGAGCCACAGTTCACAGACACGCAGATGGTAAGGGGCCGTACTGCACAGAGAACCAGGTGGTTTGCGAGTCCACTCCTGGCTGGGCCTCCTTCCATATGTGTGACCTGGGAAAGTTTCTATGCTTCAGTTTCTAACTGGGATTAATAATGTCCAAGTCCCACCGCCACCCCCAACCCCACCCCA